TTTTTGTCAAAGTGTCACTTTTTAATTGGAGTAACATAAAATGGATCAGGAAAGAGGGGCATGCATATGTGATTTGATTGAGTTTAAAAGCCACTTGCAAAAGGTGACATAATCTCGATAAGGCCGATTTCATGCATATCCAATGGCAAAAATGGTGTACAATTTGTGTAAATTGTCATCACGAAATTACATAAAATTTTAAATTGTCTTATATATTTCACATAAAACCATGTTATTACAAGGATTCACCATCTATTTATGCAGAATAGATATTTAACCAACAACTCCCTCCCATCTATTTAAATTGTGTGTATATATATATATATAAGTAGTTATAATAGGATTCACCATCTATTTATGCAGAATTTTTGTGTGTTGGTGATCTTCTTTAAATTAACGTTTCATTTTAATTTCTCTTAGCATGATTTTAACAATCCAGTGTTAGGAATGAATACTAAGAACAATATATTCTCTTTGACCTTATTTAAAGGTATAAACTTTTGAGATAATATCTGAACATTATTGTATAGAGCTGTATACTTCAAATGTTTTAGTTTAGGCTTTTGGAATTATATATTTTCTCTTGTAGCTTCTGATAATAATGTAATATAGCTTTTAGCTTTTAAAGAATCCATGCCACCATGCTAACGAACGCAGATACCTACCCCACCACTTCCAAACCTTATATATAAAGGTTCCTTATCTCACTTCGCATTCTCACACACACCCAATATTCTTGCTCCCTCCCATCTCTTCCCCTGGTCCCCTCTCACCTTGTACTTGGAGGAGTGTTTGGGGGAGAAAAAAGACACCCACTATATTTCTCTTTATCACACATCTCAAACCACACGAAAACAAGAAAGATAAAAAAACCAAACATGGTTGCGGAGGAGAAATCCCAAAAGACATACCCGACAACTGCCGAGGTAAACTTCCTTTCAGAACCTTCCATGTTCCATCCATCATGTTCATCACTTAATTATAAACACATGCATGCAGTTTTATGCAATGACATAATTTCATTATTCATGTGTGTAATGTTTTTGCTATAGGTAGTGGAGGAGCTAAAGAGAATGGGGGACATAGGAGTCCCAATAGCAGCCATGAGCCTCGTGGGGTACCTCAAAAACATGATCTTAGTTGTGTGCATGGGAAGGTTGGGAAGCCTTGAGTTAGCTGGTGGTGCTTTGGCCATAGGCTTCACCAACATAACCGGTTTCTCAGTCCTCTCAGGTTTAGCCATGGGAATGGAACCTCTTTGCACACAAGCCTTTGGTTCAAGAAACTTGTCTCTAGTCTCTCTCACTCTGCAAAGGACGATTTTTATGTTACTGGTGGCTTCAGTACCCATTTCTCTCTTGTGGCTCAAGCTTGAACCTCTCATGCTATGGCTTCACCAGGACCCTGACATAACCAAGGTGGCAAGCATGTATTGCTTCTTCTCCATCCCTGACCTAATTTCCAACAGCTTCCTCCACCCAATCCGCATCTATTTACGTAGCAAAGGCACAACTTGGCCTCTATTGTGGTGCACTTTACTTTCCGTTCTCATACACATCCCTATCGTGGCTTTTTTGACCTTCAAACTCCACCTTGGTGTACCCGGGATAGCTATGTCAGCTTTTGTTGCCAACTTCAACACCCTTTTCTTCCTCCTATCATACATGCTCTACATGCGCGTCTCAAAGGGGTCACTTTCCATGCCTTTATTAATATCTCGCCCCTTGTCATCACGACAACAAGACCAAACTTTAGCCACAATAACAAGAACAAGTTCACTAGGCAAAGAGTGGGGCATGCTGATAAGGTTCTCCATTCAGAGTTGCTTAGGAGTGTGCTTGGAGTGGTGGTGGTACGAGTTCATGACGATTCTAGCGGGTTACCTTTACAACCCGCGTGTTGCTTTGGCCACTGCTGGCATAGTGATACAAACCACGTCTCTCATGTACACTTTACCAACGGCACTGAGTGCTTCGGTTTCAACAAGAGTGGGGAATGAACTCGGGGCTGGTCAACCCCAAAGGGCAAGGTTGTCAACTGTGGTGGCAATAGGAATGGCACTTGCAAGTTCAACATTGGGGTTGGTTTGGACCACATTGGGGAGAGAGAGATGGGGGAGGGTGTTCACAAGTGATAGTGAGGTCTTGGAACTCACCATGAGTGTGTTACCCATAATTGGAGTTTGTGAGTTAGCAAATTGTCCTCAAACCACAAGCTGTGGAATCCTTAGGGGAAGTGCTAGGCCTGGTGTTGGGGCTGGCATAAATTTTTACTCCTTTTACTTGGTGGGGGCTCCAGTGGCCATAGTCATGGCTTTCTTTTGGAGACTAGGGTTGGTGGGTCTTTGCTATGGCCTGTTGGCAGCACAGATAGCATGTGTGGTCTCAATTCTAGTTGTGGTATACAACACTGATTGGGAAAGGGAGTCTTTGAAGGCTAAAACCTTGGTAGGAAAGACTTCATCATGTGACACTAACACAATGGAACAACATGGAGACCATGAAGCAGTCAAATGTGAAGAAGCTACTGTCTTTCTCAATCACAACAATACCTCCCAAAAGTTACCCAAAATCCTCGCGTTAGTGGAAGAAACACAAGCTAAGGATATATCATCATGACTTTACGTAATTATTCTTCTTGTGATTAATTAAGCTTTTGTTTAACACATGTTTAATTTCTTCTAGTTTTTTCCTTGCTGATGATTACATGCAAGGTTTGGTAACTCTACCAAGCTAGTTGTTGGTAACTTTGTCCGCAAATTGTAATAGTAGGATTATCTGATTATTGAATAGTATTAATAGATAATGATTCATATAATTAAATTTTTCTTCCTATTGTATTTGTATAGTAAACATAATTATCAATTAATTTGTATTTTAACCCAATTAAGTTACTGGCGTAAACAATTATAATCGAAATTGTTATGACCGATTAGAGCGTGGATTTGAATCCACCTCACTTCTACATAACCAATATATAAAGTTAGGTCGTTATCATTTATATACTCTATTAATCTTATTTTTAATCAATATAAAATTTAAATTTTTCTCGATGCACTTTTATGTATAATATTATTGAATTTGATATTTAAATAAATAATGAGTGACTTATTAATAAATTTAGGATAGATTCTAATATTATTTTAAAAAAATTTAAATTTAACTTAACTTTAATTATAAAATAAGAAACAAGGTGTGAACCCCACTTATATACCACTTGTATGAAATTTCTGTTTTTTCGGATATGACATGATAGTCTTATATTTTAAAACACAAATTAATTTCTTTTTCTAAAATATGAAATAACAGACATTGGATTAGCTATCACAATCAGTACATTATTATCTTGTGGCGCAATGATTACGAACATATTATCATATTGAACAAGTCCAATTATATTGAGCTCAAATATGCATTAAATACGTCACGTGTGTAAAAAAAATCTCGAGCTTCAAGTATTGGAATCAATAAGAGAAAAAACAAATAAAAATCATAAAAGTTGAAAGATTGAATATATCTTAAAAATTAAGATACGTAATTTTTGAATATGCGTTTAAAGCCTTAAGAAATTTTAAAATTTGGACCTCGTTGACAACGAGTAGGACATATACATGACTTATTTGGGCTGGATGCCCTATTTTACGAAGGTTTAAGCATGTGCTTGCATGTGTTATAGCCAGGTATAAGTATGCATGTGCAGGGACACATGGCAAGAGAAATATTACGGTACTAACATTTATGAACAAACGAAAAATCATTGTCCTATGTCATTTATGTGTACTTTACGGGAGATATTACATTTCCTTTTGTTTTCTGAACACGTACCTATGCCACAACGAACGGGTGGAGAAGGATATGAGAATTGTGGGTTTATAATCCACAAAAAAAGTTCAAGTATAAATTTCTGAAGTTATTATATGACAAAATCATATATAGCAGGAAATAAAAAATATTCTTTAATCTAACTCCCTAACGTAATGACATGTTCCCTCTTCCCCACCAATATCACTTCCATTGGAATAGACAGGACATTAGACATATCCGAACACGTTTGGCAGAAATGTACCAATTTGTAAGCAACCGGCATATTCTCGAAGAGCTACCTATCACTATATAGTAGTCCATAACTTGGGAGTTATGAATCAATTAGTAAATGTTACTTTTTTCCTTTGTCTAGAAACAAATGTGTAAAAAATGACCAGAACTAAATAATAATAAAATATTTGTAGTATAATTAATCTATAATTCAGCCACGTACTAATAGCCCCACTTTGAGGACAGCCGAAAGCAGGGGCAACTTTTTGTTACTTGTCAAGGGAAACCTAACTGCCACCTATTTTGTGTCCCACCCAAAAATAAAATAAAAAGCTTTTTGGTTAATTCTGGGATCAGCACTTTCCTTGATTAGTTGCTACTCAACTGATTTGAACAGGATAATGATCATGAAGGCATAAAGTTATTGGATGTAAGTCGGTCCAACATTCCTCCTTAGAAGAAAAGGCCAACAAAATAAGAACGGGGAAAGGTTTGTGCAAAGTGCGTAATTAAACAGCATGTTGAACTTTCACCAAAGAAAGAAAAAAAAAAGCATATTGAATGCTTCTAGAGAGTGTTCATTTTCTATATACTATACATGGTGACGCAGCGTGTACGCATTACTGGACGCTGTATATGTATGTACTAGAAAACTTGCATTGTTAACCCGAATGAGGAACGAATTGAAGTATAACATTTTTTTTCTTCTTAAAATAAGTCTGTAATTATTGAAGTCAAACTAAATGTATAACTTGTACTGACAAGTAAAACAAAATGTATACGGAGAGAAATTTAATAAATAGTAGCTTCATGCTATTAAAAAATAATCACTAAAAACCATTGTCTTTCCTTCGATATAAAAAGACTGGTATTTTGTAAGAAAATAAAATGGTTAGTAGAAATTGGAATCTTCATGATCAAAATCATGTTATTACAAACTCTTATACTTGTATATAATCACAAACATTAATAGTTATGTAATTAGGAATGGATGCATGTCTAACATAAGAGGGACAATGGCCTTTGTGCCTGTGGTGCTATAAAGGTACTACACTAAGCTTGATTCTCTTGAACTAAAACATGTGAAAATTGAACTTGATCCAGAAATCTAAGTTCTAATTTTTATAATTGAAATTGAGACATGAGAGTAAATGAGTTATTTAAAATCTTAAGGCACTTGAGATGCAACTTATAGAGAAGAAACATTCTAGAGAAATATGATCTGTCATGAAAATAGTTGAATTTGAGTAGTAAGAATTGAGAAGTTAAGAATTGTATGAGACATATTGATATATGACTTGCATCATATCTACAAAATTAAACTTAAGTTTTTGAGATATCGATATAGAATCCTATGTTAGAGATGTCACATTAAGGATTTTTGGGTTTAAACCTTGGAGTCAACTTGGTTTTGGGAACTCTAATCTAACTCTATAACAAGTATGTTTTAACCTAACGTGACTTTGTAACCTCAAATTAAGAGCCACTGATGAATCATTTCCCTAGTTATGAGTGTTTGGTGTTGAGCACTTGGGAGCACGATCACACCAAGAGTATGAGTTGTAGGTTTTTCATTATCTATTTTTGTTTGTCTCGTATTTGGGTTCAATCTCATTTGCAAGTGAGTAAAAACTTAATGTTGATGTTAGTGAGAGGCTTTAGACCTCAATCTTTACTACTTTAGGTATTATAGTACTCTAATAGGATGTGACATCAAGATTTGGACTTTTACCACATGTTTAATTAGTTTATGCTTACCTTTCATTTATTCAATTGTATTTCATTTTAAACTGATATATGTCTTTTGTAGTGCTAACCCTTTTGCTGGAAATTTCTTTCATTATTTGGTTTTAGTTTGAACTTTCGATTAGTTGTTAATGAGATTGGCTTTAAATTGATTTTTAATAAATGAGTAGAGGTGTCATATTTAGTCAAATCAAAGTAGGTTGGTTCTTCCAACCAATGCATTATGTTTTTTTCATGTTGTATATGTGTTGATGGAATAACACTAAGGTCGAGAAGACCAAGAGGTGATATACTAAAGGAGGCAAGAGGAATGGGATAGTAAGGCCATTTTTTGGACCTTAGCTCCTAGGTTTTATAGCATTTATTTCTTTATTCCTATTTTGCCCTTGTCTTTAATTTCCTATTTTACCCTTGTATTTTGGGGTATTTTAGTCATACAATTTATTTTACTTGTATTTCCAATTTTACCCTTGTATTTTGGGGTGTTTAGGACTTAGAATTTATTTTCTTTTTTATTTCCCATTTTACCCTTGTATTATGGGGTGCTCTAGATTATTAGGGTTTTTAATTTTGGGCTAGGGTGTTAATTAGAGGGTGACACATTTTTGGTGCTTATTGGGTCTATTTTTGGTGTTAGAAAGGCTTAGGCCCAAGTGGAGGGCAAAGGTTGCATGGTCTTATCATGCACCTAGATATAGCCAATCTAAACCCAAAGATTCCATCCTTGGCCACCAAGTTGCATCTAGGGTTCATTTGCATTTCATTTGGAATGCATTTGCCTACTCCAAATGCAACCCTAGATGCCTCCCCTCCTATAAATACCCAACACCCCACCACTTGTAAATACTTTGGATTATATGATATTGAGTGAGCCTTTTGTGCCTCAAAATCCATCCTTAGTCCCTAGGATAGTTTCGGCTAGCCACCTCCTATCTCCACCCTTGGAGAATAGGAACCCTAGAGTGGCCTCCACCTTTCATTGGAGTGAGCCAACCTTGTGAGCAACCACCACCATTCCTAAACACCTTCCGCCACCCTAAACACCTTCACGCAAACCATTCCTTTTTCCCACCCCAAAAATCTCCTTTGTGTCTTCCCTTTGGTGAACAAGATCAAGGGCAAGGACTTCCTCTCCCTACAATACATTATTCATGGAAGGAGGAATCCATCAAGTGTACTTTGACAAGTTTGATATATTTTTGCTTTCGATTAGTTGTTAATGAGGTTGGCTTTAAATTGATTTTTAATAAATGGGTAGAGGTGTCATATTTAGTCAAATCAAAGTAGGTTGGTTCTTCCAACCAATGCATTATGTTTTTTTCATGTTGTATATGTGTACTTTGACAAGTTTGATATATTTTTGCTTTTGTTGTTTTGTTGCATGATTTTACCTTTGTTTACCTTTTGTATTATCTCAACAAATAAAGGGAGTAAATGGCTAGTAGAAATGGTTGTGCAATAATTGATGCTTTATAAACCTTAACATAGGTAGTGGGAAATCATAATTTTCGTGGAGTTAGCAGAGCTGCTTAATACAATGGGTTGGATCATTTTCAAAGGAACAATTCACCTACTTTCAAGAGAGGCTACAATCTTATTGTAGCTCATGATTAGTTGAGGGAAATTGGGAAGACTTTTTATGCAATGGTGTGTCCAAATGGATAGAAGGTATCCCTTAGTTTCTTCATACTTATTAAGGAGGCTAAGTATTGGCAGAAAAAACACTCGCCAATGTTTGGTCACTAAAGTTAGAGCCATAACTTGAGAGGTTTTTAAAGAAATTTTCTTGGAGAAGACTTTCCTAAGGATTCTATAACTAAAAAGAGGTGGAGTTCCTAAAACTCAAGTTATAAGGAAGCATGATTGTCATGAAGTATGTAGAAAAGTTTGTGCAATTATCATGTATTCCCCTTACTATAACCTTAAGGTGAAGGAAAGATCTAAGTGTTGTAATTTCATCAATAGTTTGCACTTGAAGATCAATTAGTTTGTTAACTACTAGGAGATTGGCCAATTTTTCATA